AAGAAGATAAAAGGAGGAAAAAGCCCGCAAGTATACAGGTGACTATAAAACTACAGTTATGATATCCCATATAAACTTAGCCTTAATGCTGATGATGCAAAACCAAAACAAAATATGGCAAGTTATGTTTGAAGCACATGATTATATTTTACATTTACATATAAAACATCTCTTAAGTAAAAGTAACCTACAATATACAAGCTCTAAAAGCAACTATGGAAATTGTTTGGCATGGTAATTTTAAACTGAATAACAAAATCTTCAAACTTTGCACAAAGAACCTGTTTTTTTAAGCATGTGACTAAAATGTCAAAAATTCTGTCAATGAAAAATGTTGTGTTTTCTTTCAGAGAGACTTATATTGTAGCTTAGTGAAATAAAGCTTTGAAGCTACATCTCTAGCACTGATGTTCAACCTTGTTCCCAGTTCTCCAGAAAAATTAGAGTCTTTGGTTCCTTTTTGGAGATTCAATTAATATTCCTGGATGAAAGACAGTTGTACTGTGTTTCTTTCTGTTATAATCCTAGTTAACATACAGCCATGTAGCTCTTCATTATTTGGAAACCTCTTGGATGTGGACACATTCAGGACCATAATTTCTCTGTCATTTGATGCTGAGAGCACAGAAGAGAGCTAATGGAAGGGAGTGGTGCCTCTCTAGTCCTTCTCTCTATAAGTATAGTCTTTTACAATCTTCATAATTCATTTTGATCCACTGTGCATATTAAAGTGAATAGGAATCAGATAAACTGCTGTAGTTCCGTCCTGCAAGGTGTTTAGCATTCTGTCCCAGTACTATGAAGCTCTTAAATTCATGGCTTAAAGTCCCACTGAGAGAGTCCATGAGGAATCCTGCTGAAATAATGGGACCATTTGTATATTTCAAGTTAAACATGTATTTAACTATTTTACTTGATTAGTAAGGAACAAACAACATCTTTCAGAATCAAATTACCAGTCTACAGATGTTCTGCTTCTTCTAGGAAAAAATGCAAAGCTGGAATTTGAGACAGTAGCAGTAATTTATAAATGGTATCTATCTTAAGGTCTGCTCTTTGAGATGGCTGACTTTCCTTGTCCTCATAGTCCTACACAGCAGTGGTCAGAAAGGTGTTCAGACTGTACGTCCCTTCTCTTTAAAAAGAGGGAGGGAGAAAAAAGTCTATAATACAATAACATCAATCCTTGAACATTTGCTTCTTTTCCTTTTATAATAATCCAATTGTGTTCATCTTTTGAGACTGTTCCATAGCTCCTGTTTTTGTGGGGCTTTGAGCAGGAGGAGGTGCAATTAGGATTGGTAATTCTGGACAGAATAAGCAAGTAGTAATTATTGTTATTAAGGGCAAGAAGAGCTATTTTACTTTATTTTTAAAAGAAAAATATAAAAGGCTCCTAGAGTTTTGGGTAGGTTTGCATATGAATTTGAATGAATGTATAAAAATACCAGTAACCCAGTGCTTCAGCCATTAAAATAAATAAGACGTCAAATAAAATAATAAATCCACACATAGAAAAGTATATGGAAAGAACCCAGTCAGCAACTAAATTAGATTACAGAGAAAATATGACTTATTCCATGTCCAGCCTTAAACTATTACTGAACTGAAGTATGGTAGTACCTTCTTGAGGTATTCAAGCAAGTTGTAAAACAAGAAAAAAAATTGTAGTAACTATTATTTCTTTAACATTACAGCCCCCTCTACACATTCAGGTAAAGGGACAATGGGATCTAATACGCGATCCACGCAATTACACCTCCTACTATGCTGCACATGCATGGCAGGAGGGTGATTGTGGGGTTCCACATTAGGTCCCATCTTGCCTTATCACTGGTGCAGTGGAAGCCTGATCCATGCCCCCCCGGATCAGCAACAAGCAAGATCCTACAGCTGGGAGTCCCCTCACAGTTGGGTCTCCCAACTGTGGAGTGCCCCACACACCCCTGTGTTTGGGAGTATCATGGCTGCTATGATCTCTCAGCCTCACAGCTGTGTGAAATCCACAAAACTGGGGGATTATGGCTGCTGCAATCCCCCAGCCCTGGGGGTTTTATGAACCCTTGGGCCAAGTGTGCCCTATGCCTGCAGGGACCCAGCTGGTTCCCGGTCCCCAGCACCCGCAGCTATGGGACTTTGTGGTCCCCTGCTGTCAGGACCCTGATTCAGCAGTTCCTAGGGCTGACAGTCCCCTCCACTGTGGGACTCCTAGCCCTGACTGGGCATTATGCAGCCCTGTGGTTGAGAGCCCCTAAGTTAATGGGGCTCCCAGCTGCAGGGGAGCCCCTGCTACATGTGCAAATTAGAGCTTAAGGGCAACCAACTGTAAAGTTAGTACACATTTTCGAGGTCTATCTTTATAGCTGGTTGGAGCTTTTTATGGTGTGATAGCTACTTTGCATGTGTAGCTGGTCTTAAGGTAGTTGTGCAATACCTGTAACATGTAGAGGAGGCCCGCTGGTCATGATTGGTTACAACTTGTGTGGTAACAGTAAGTAAAAGTGGTGATATACATTTCGCAAATAGTTTAAGGAAGCTACATTTTATATCTCTTTAACTTGATGCACTATAGTAGTAATTCAGCCAATTCTGTGCTCCAGTATAACTAACATTTCTGTATAGTTTGTTAAAGCTGTGTGATATAAATGTTAAAATCATTAGCAACAGTTTGGTATATACTTTAACTTTGAAATTTATCAAGATACTCTAAAATATGCTATGTGTGTAAGTTATCTTTATGAAGAAAAATACCACCTACACAGAATAGTAGTTCTCAAGCTTTAATTTATATGCTAATCGCTGACTTGGAAGTAGAAAAAAAACTTTTTTTATGGCCCACATGCAACATTGCACAAAATAGTGGATGCTTCCACAAGCATTTATAGGCTCTGAGCTTGCAAAGACTTACATGCCTGCTTAACTTAATTCATTGAGTATTCCATTCACTTCAAATAGGTACATTCACAGTGTGTAAAGTTAAGAAAGTACATTTAGGGCCAAAAAGTATTGAAGCCCACTGCCAAATATAGGGTAGCACAAGAGTTGGGCTAATGGTCCATCACAGTATTTTAATTCTTATAAATTCTGTTGTGATTATTGTTACATGTAGAAAGCAGGAAGTCTGGGAAGAAGAGGGGGAAGAAATGAAAATGAACTTCTGAGACTTTGCTCCTTTTTCATTAGCTATTTTACTCATTATACTCAATGTACTCTCCAGCTAACATAGGAGAAAGGATTCATCATTACATGTTTAATGGGAAAATACTGTAAATTCCAAAGCCTCTTTGTTGAAATGGAGTTTTTCTTTTGCATTTTATCTATCTGGTTGTTAGTTTAATCTCTGTAATGTATAATTTATAGCCCATCCCATCTATTGACATGAGTGAAATAGCAATTTATAATTCACTGAAAATAAATTGTCTTGTGTACCTCTCGTGTACCTCTCTTTTTTAGGTGTTTCTGTCAACTCCAGGCTTCTTGCCTGACATTCTGGTGATTCTCTTGTTGGGTTTAAAGTTTAAATTCTTGGAAATCTTCCAATGTCAAGCTTTTAAGTTCTTCTCATACCATTTATTGATTTCAGGGACTGTGGGCATGACTTAATAAATGTGTGTTTCTAAATTAGTTTGCACAGTAAGAAATGTATTATTCCCAAAACCTCTAGCTTTGCAGTATTGAATATACTGATTTGGATCTGAAATTTGAAATTATTCTTTACAGTTTGACAGCAATGTGATATGGTTCAAAAAGAGAGAGATGGGGATCTTATAATTTGCTTTGTCTTTCAGCTGAAAGCAAGGGAAAAAATGAAAGTACAAAGTGTAAAAATGTGTAAATACAAGTTTTGGCAGTTTTATCAACTAAATTTTGTTCTTTTGGATTTGCAGGTACCTCTGTTCTACAGGTAACAGCCACAGATGCCGATGACCCTACGTATGGGAACAGTGCTCGGGTGGTGTACAGTATTCTTCAGGGACAGCCATACTTCTCTGTTGACCCTAAAACAGGTGGGCACTCTAGATTTCTTATAGCTTGATGCAGTTGTTTTAATTGCTGCTTTGCACTGTGCATTTAGAGGAAATATGTGTGTGTAGAATTAATTCTTCAGTATGTTGTGATGTGAACTATTCAGCCAAAGTACTGAAGTGGAATATCACTTTGTTTTTTGTACTTTCAGACCTAAGCTTAACAAACTACTCAACTGTGCCTATTAAATTATGATTTAAAATGCTTTATGTTGCCTGTAGGATTGGTTTAGGAGGATTATTGAATGTGTGCTTCAGCACACATACTATTATAAACAAATATCATGCTTGTATTTGTAAAACTGCACTGTTGTCATTACACTGAAACTGTTCTCTATACAATTCAAGGAACAAAATGAGCTGAAATAATTAAATTTAAGCTCTGTGCATCATTTTCCATTTTCCCCCCAAAGATATATAACAGCATACAAAAAAAGAAGAAATCCAAATTCCTTATTGGATAGAAAAGAAATCTCATCCAATTGGGGTGGTAAGATTGTTTGGGTTTTCTGAATGCTATTAACTGTTGTGTGATAGGCATATTTTGTCATTTACCATACTTTTGTCAATTTTAATAATGAGGCAGTATAATTTACCAGATCGTTCACTTCAAATGAATGAAGATAATTGTATTTTATTTTTCTCCAAAACCAAATCTGAATTAGCTAGTTAGCAAAATTTTGGTATGGAGCTAGAAGATCACAGTTATTATTTAAGATAGAAAAAAATATTTTATTTTTTTGTGCATAGTATATAATAAATGCAGAGGGTTTTTATAGGTATATATTCACTCGCACATTTTTACATGCAAATATATGTGTTTATATATGTTGATGTCTGCATGCAGAGTTGCTCGCAGACTATTTAGTTCAAATTAAGATTATCTGAATCTACACTTTGGAGATTATAAAAAATAGGGTTTTTTTTGTTTTTTTTGCAAGAGACAAGTGTTTGTAGATTAACAGTGAAAGATGACACACTGGGCACATCCAAATGAGCATGCACGTGCCTCTTGGAGCATCTCAAAGCCCTTTCAGATGCTGCAAGAGGCACGTGTGGGAACAAAAAAAGCTCCCCATGCTGCAAATTTGCAGTGTGTGGGCAAAATTAGGCCCCTAGATATCCAGGGGTCAAAAAAATGTAAAAGATGGTGGAGGGGCTTTGATTTTGGAAGCTCAGTTCAGAAGCCCCTCAGGCCTCTAGCCAGGCACACAGCAGCGGGGCAGCAGGAAGGAACACAAACACAGGAGTAGATATGATAAGGCATCTGTGGGAGGGGGGGTGCAGAAGCAACAGTCAATTAAGGAAGTAATCCAGTGCAGGTGCAGTGTAGGGTGGTACAAGGTGATGCAGCAGGGAATCTCCCTTTCTCCTGAGAGGGGGCAGCAGCAGAACAGGACACAGCAGTAGTGGTGACAGTAGCCATCCAGTTCAGCCACTCAGGGTGTGCCTCAGGTGAAAGTGGAGGTGAAGGCAGGGGGTGGCCTGCCAAGACAGCTGAGGCAAGGCACCTTGAGGCTCCAGCAGTGATGGTGGGGGAGGGCCCACAGGCAGTGCAGGCTCCCTCCCCAGGCTGTCCCCAGACTGTGGCTTGGTGGCAGGCTGGGCAGCAGGCCAGAACAGGAGTGCAGAAGCTGGAGTGCATTGCTGGGGTGCAGTGCAGTGCAGTGCCCCCTCACCCCGAGCGGGGGAACATCAGCATGTGGTGTGCAGCAGAGGAACCCACCCCATGGTGGGGGGGGCAGTAACAGCAGCCGAAGGCACAAAGGGGTGCAGCCAAATTACCTCCAAAAGCTCTGAGAACAAGCTGTTGCCCTGAGGGGTCAGGCCAATACTCAGGATCTCAATATTGCACTGTTAGACAGGAGGGCGTGGTGTACAATTGCACGTGCACACATAAAAATCAATTAAGCACACATATATTCACTAGGTGCATACACCCCATACTAGACATACACACTCACACTAGCAACTCAGATACACACACATTCAAAATAACCAGTCTAGGTTCATGCACATCTATCACCAGTTTAAGCCCATAAATGTTACACACACGAAATTTAGACAGAATCAGTTACCAACATCTGCACATCCAATCCACGTATGTGGATTACTAATTCATATACTACACACACACAATGATATCTATATATGTATATATATGTGTATTCACTAATGGACACACATACCACCCACCTACACATACACACAGGTGAGTTCCTAAGTTGGGTGTTCTGATGTGTATGTATGTATGTGTTTATATATGTATGTGCTTGGTGTACTTGGGATACCTGGGGAAAGGTTAAGGTAAGAAAGTAGAAGTGTAGGGAATGAAAGTTGCTGGGAGTGAAAGTTAACCAGGACCAGGGTTAGAACCGGTAGACTAGAGGGGCCTGGGCTGAAGAACTGAGGCTCGGGGGTAAATTTAGGTTAATTGATCTTAATTGATTAAAAGGCAATGCCCAAAGCCTGCAGAACAGGGGAGCGATGTCGGCACAGAGGCTGGGACCAGAGCCAGAGCTACAGGGGAGCTGAAAAGGTAGTTGGGGAGAGGGAAAATGGGACTAGGGGAAAGTGTGGGTGTTAAAGAGGGGCTCTGAGTGTGGGGAGCCAGAGGATGGCTCTGGGGCAGCTAGAGAAGCTGCAGGGAGTGGCAGTAGGTGCTGGGAGCTGGAGAAAACTGCAGGATAGCCACAAGGAGCTGGGAAGCTGGGGGGGTGGGGGGATGACTACAGAAGGTGCAGAGGAAGCCTGAAAACAGAGACGGATGGCAGAAAATCACAGGAAAAGCGAAAGGAGAGACTGAAAGGCAGCAGGGCAGTGGGAAAGCAGAGAAAGGCAGCAGAAAGGCCCAGGGGAAAGCCAGGAGGAGCATGGGGAGCAGGGGGACAGCAGAAAATCACAGGAAAAGCAGCAGGAGAGACTGGAAGGTGGCAGGGCAGTGGGAAAGCAGAAAAAGGCAGTGGAAACTCACAGGCAAAAGGCAATAGGAGCAGGGGGAGAGCAGAAAATCACAGGAAAAGCACGAGGAGAGACTGAAAGGCAGCAGGGGCAGCATAAAAGCAGAGAAAGGCAGCAGAAAGTCACAGGGAAAAGGCAGTAAATGGCATGGGAGGCTGAAAGGCAGCAGGGACAGCAGGAAAGCAAGGACAGGCTGAGAGGTGGCAGAAAAGGGGAAACAGAATTGGGAGGAGATAGGGAAACTAGCGGAGGGGAGGGACTGGAGCTGAGAGAGAGAGAGAGATTGAGGCTGGAATTTAAGATAAGGAAGGGACTGGGATTCAGTAAAACATGACCCAACTCGGGGTTGCAAATGACAGTGGTTTTATTGAACAGGGGAGATGGTGACACAATGTCTTATTGGTTCCCTTGAACTCCCCCCCCCATGCACACACACGCATACAATGGCAGCAGGGGTTAGAAAGGCTTGGTGCAGGGGCTGAAATCCACTGAAGTCCAGGAGGAGAGAGAGAGAGAGAGAGAGTCCAGATTGTAGGAGGAGGTGTGTAGGTAATGTCTACCTATCCCAGGCTGGAAGTTGATTCTCAATGGCCAGTCGGGGTCTCCTTCAGCTCACTGTTGTCCAGAGGGGGATGCCGGCAGGGCATTTGGGGTGGATAGGTGCTGTGAAGCTGGTCTGGTCTGGATGGAAATGGCATTCCCACTGGGTCTGTTTTCACTGCCCCTTTTTATAGGGGCAGACCTTGTGTGACCCTAGTGACAGGAGGCATGCCCAGGTAAGGGCCGGCCCAGGCGTACTGATCATGTGTGCTTCATGCAGGGATGTGCAGTTTCAAGTGTCTGTAATGGTGGGGTACAATGGTAGAGTTGCTGGTTCTGCAGGG